GCTACTGCTGCTGCTGCTGCTGCTGCTGCAGGAGGTGCGCTTGGTGTATAGGATATTATCGGGCCCCTACTGCGGCCGACATCAAAAATCTTTTTCTTTAACAGTGCGCAGTTAATTTTTATTTATTTAAATTAATATAAATATATATTAATATTAATATAAATATAATATAAATATAAATATTAATAATAAATATAAAATATATAAATGCATGTGAAGGTAAATATATACATATGTTTTATTTTTATAGAAATATATATCTATATATTTATATTTATATTTATATATACATATATTTATTTATATATATATATTTATTTAATTTATTTATTTATTTTATTTATTTGTTTCTTTATATCTCTGTTCATACATTCATCCATTTATCTATTTATCTATTTATACATATATATATATATATATTTATATATATATTTATATATATATTTATATACATTTATATATATATATTTATTAATATATTTATTAATTAATATTATTGATTATTTGTTTGTGTTTATAGAAGTGGGGTTGCTCGGGTGCGTGGGCGGCAGCGAGAGAGGCGAAGGCATTTATGAGAAGCACAGGGAAGCTGCCTGCATTCTTTGCGTCTCCATATTCTCGCAGTAGGCTGACTAACTCGTCTACAAATAAAATATATACTCCTTTATCTGCTTCTGCTTATACTGATCCTGCTGCTGCACCTGCTGCTGCACCTGCTGCTGCTGCTGCTGCTGATCCTGATTCTGCTGACGGCCCTATTGCTTCTCAGCACAAAAATCCACATTCATACTCTCCTGCTGCTGATGCAGCAGCAGCAGCAGCAGCAGCAGATATACCGCCGTCATCCTCTCCTGCAGCGCCTACTGCAGAAGCAGCAGCAGCAGCAGCAGCAGCAACAACTGCAACAACAAATGCAGCAGCAAAAGCTGCTAGCACCAGAAGACATCATAAAAAGAACAGAAATAATGCACAGGATAAGGCAGCCGCTTCATATGCTGCAGCAGCGCTGCAGCAGCAGCAGCAGCAGCAGCAGCAGCAGCAGTTGTCCCCGACAGGCCTTGCTGCAGCAACAGCAGCAGCAGCTGCTGCTGCTGCTCAGTCTCCTGAAGCTGCTTCTCTTCTATCTTTAAATTCTTCTGCAGATTATCTCTTTTCAATGCTGCCGCAGGGTGTAGTAGAAAGAGCAGCAGCAGCAGCAGCAGCAGCAGCAGCAGACAAGGGTCCAGTGCAGCTGCTAAATGCTACCCGCTCACGCTACCAGCAGCAGCAGCAGCAGCAGACTCCGTCAGATCCAGCAGCAGCAGCAGCAGTTGCTGCTGCTGCTGCTGCTTCAAGCCCGCAGACAGCGCTAGACTTAGCGGCGCTCTGTGTACTCTCAGCGCATTCCGAATTGCTGCAGCAGCAGCAGCAACAGCAGCAGCAGCAGCAGCAAGAGTCGTTGCTGCTGCAGCAGCTGACGAATGAAGATCCCTCAGCAGCTCTTTTGAAGCTCCTGGGCGCAGCAGCTGCTGCTGACTCAACAGCAGCAACAGCAGCAGCAGCAGCAGCAGGAGACCCGCTGGGATCGTCTGGGGATCGTGTTTGTTCTGAATTGACTCTGGACCCCACAAAGCTGTCGCACAGCCTTTCTGCTGCTGCTGCAGGGCCTCCTCTGTCTGCTGTTGCTGGTCTAACTCCTGCAGCAGCAGCAGCAGCAGCAGCAGCAGCAGCAGGGGCTTCCGTATCGAAGCAGGAGCCCGACGCAGCAAAGGTGCCGATGGGGAAGGAGACGGATTTGCTGCTTGCAGATCTGTTGGCTGCGGTGGAGCAGCAGCAGCAGCTGCTGCAGCAGCAACTGCAGCAGCAGCAGCAGCAGCAGCAACAGCAGCAGCAGCAGCAACTGCTGCAGGCTTCGCCACAGGAGGACCTGGTGAGCACTTTGGAATCGTTATTAGATTTGTTTGATGGTATGAAGAAAGAAGAAAGACATCTCTTGTCGTTGCCGCAGGGTATTGATCTGCAGCAGCAGCAGCAGCAGCAGCAGCAGCAACTGCAGCAGCAGCAGCAGCAGAGTTCGCCTTGCGCTGCAGCAGCAGATCTGGTAGATAATTCCAAAGAAAAAGAATTCTCTGCTTCGCTGCTGCGCCTGCTGCAGTGCCAGCCCGAAGCTTCTGCTGCATCTGCTGCTGCAGAAGCAACTGCAGCAGCAGCAGCAGCAGCAACAGCAGCAGCAGCAGCAGCACCAACTTGCGCTGCAGCAGGAACGAGGACGCCAAACTCGCAGCTAAAAATACAAATCGATGGAGAGATGCACAAATCAACAATTGCTGCAGACAGCAGCAGCAGCAGCAGCAGCAAATCTTCAGATCCTGTTGCTGCTGCTGCTGCTGCTGCTGCTGCGGGAAGAATACCAGCAGCTAAGGCTTGGCGCAGATCTGCACAGACACCTGATGCAGCAGCTGCAGCAGCAACAGCAACAGAGTCTTGTGAGGCACCGTCTTCCCACTTGCAGCAGCAGCAG